GCGTTTTGTTTGGATTTTTGGATTTCAATCTGTATAATAAATCTGCACTTGGATTCATCTACAACATGCCGTTCAGTGGACCATCATTACCTGAATATGCACTAATTTACATATATATATATATATAATTTTTTTTTTTAAGTTATAAGATATTTATATATTTGTATAGGATTATATTTATATGTATAATATAAATGTAAATATATAAGTTTGTGTTGGATATATCTTCTAACATTTAATTCATTTAAAATGTATGAACACTTAAAATTTTGCTGTGAATGGCTGTGGAACAAGCATTAATCAATTAGATAAATGTATGAGATTGAAACACTGGATTTATTGATAAATATATAAAGCTGGTTATTGTGTATTTAAAACTGATTTAGTTCATTAGCACTATTACAGAAATCTGACCTGTTTCATTTATGCATGACTCACAAACATGCATCACATTAAGTTGACAAGATTTATGCTTTTGAGTTTAACACAAACAACTAGAGTTGAGGCCTGAGACCGCACACCATCCACATGCCCTCGCTACACACGCCGTAAACCCGAGCCAACACATGGCTGCAATAAGCAACAAATTAAACCATTACAGGAGCGTTTAAGGTGCGCAGACATCTGCGTTTGAAGGGTTTAGGAGTGGACGAGGATCTCCTGGACACACCAATCCGGCCGCTGACCGAGAAAAACACCCACGACCAGGGGACCTTCTAAAACACTTAACGTGAAAAACGCTTAACGTGGCTTAATGTGTTAAGACAGTGTTTTTAGAGGACCAAACTCAGTAAACGCTTTAATAAAGCATAATGTACAGACAAGCAGATGAGTCCAGAATAAGAATTAAATGCGTTTAATTACGCATTAAAGGGATAGTTCACCCAAAAATGAAAATTTGATGTTTATCTGCTTACCCCCAGGGCATCCAAGATGTAGGTGACTTTGTTTCTTCAGTAGAACACAAACGAAGATTTTTAACTCAAACCGTTGCAGTCTGTCAGTCATATAATGGAGGTGAATGGGAATCACGGATTTGAGAGTCAAAAAAACATACACAAACAAAACCAAATTAAACCCTGCGGCTCGTGACGATACATTGATGTGTAAAGACACGAAACGATCGGTCTGTGCATAGATATATATACGTAGATGCCTCATTAGTAGTGATGCAAAGTCCGATTCATTTCCGCGAACTGGTTCTTTTCGGACAGATCGGCTCATTGAACCGGTTCAAAAAGCCGATTCATCGGTTCCTGACGTCATTAAGCAATAACCCGGTTCTTTTCGGACAGATCGGCTCATTGAACCGGTTAAAAAAGCCGATTCATGGGTTCCTGACGTCATCAAGCAATAACGTCTCTACGCATTTCTTTTCTAACAACTCAGTGCCATGTTGTATCAATGAAATATTCAAATAAGTAATTTGTGTCAACACATATTGAAACATTCAAAAAAATAAAGTTATTTGTGTGAAAGCATATTGCGGATTATTGCCATATAATTCACTTAAGTTAATGATGTTTGTGATCAGTTTCATTCGCGGATTCTTTATGTCAGATACGACTGACTGAGCAATATTGACTAGCCTACAACTTGGATAAGATTCCTAAAAGTTTCACACCTACAGCACACATTACAGACATTGATGCACAAACGCGGATATGTTCTACATGTCTACAGTATAAAGAATTAATAAGTCTTATAAACTCCTTGATTTCGCTTAAGCAACTGTAAATATAATATGCATGCACAATAAACTATTGTAAAATTAATTTACATCACTCGACAGAAAGGTTTTTGCAGGTTTTAATAAAATGTAAATTAATAACAGTCATAATAAGCATATTTCCAGTACGTGCCTCAGGCTTGCACAGTATCGTCAACTCACTCATCAGAATCTTCGGTAATCCTCGGCAAACTGCGACAGTTGGTTGAACCGGCTCAATCGGTTCTTTTTTATGGAGCCAGATCGGCCTCAAAAATAATACATTTATAAAACAAAATTCATAAATGCACAGCACAATTTACATTTACAAAATCCGATTCGGTTCGATTTGTGAATCCATACTTCCTGAGAACTGGCTCAAAAGAACGATACGTTCAAGAACCGAACATCACTACTCATTAGTGACTGTTTCTATGGGCCGCGGGAATCTACTTATGTATGTCTATGTCTACTATGACAGAGCACGTACACGCGTCACCTGCCGGATGTTGGACATTGTGGTGTATAAGAGGTAAAAAATTATATAAATACTGTTCAGTTTCTTGCACAGACCGATCGTTTCGTGTCTTTACACATCAATGTATCGTCACGAGCCGCAGGGTTTAATTTGGTTTTGTTTGTGTATGTTTTTTTGACTCTCAAAGCCGTGATTCCCGTTCACCTACCTTATATGACTGACAGACTGCAACGGTTTGAGTTAAAAATCTTCATTTGTGTTCTACTGAAGAAACAAAGTCACCTACATCTTGGATGCCCTGGGGGTAAGCAGATAAACATCAAATTTTCATTTTTGGGTGAACTATCCCTTTAAGCGATTTCCTGCTTAACGTGGCTTAATGCATTAAAAAAGTGCATTAAAACAACTCAATAAACATTAATAAATAATGTTAAGCGTTTTCCTAATAACGGGTTTCTATGGGAGGAAAACACTTAATGCGTAATTCGTATTATGGCTCATATCTGCTTGTCTGTACATAGTATGATTTATTAATAATGTTTATTGAGTTTGGTCATTTAAAAACACTGTTGTAATGCATTAAGCCACATTAAGCGTTTTCTTTATAACGTTTTTTTTATGGTAGGCTAGGAAAACGCTTAATGCTTAATTAAATGTGTTGCGTTCATATTATGGCTCATATCTGCTTGTCTGTACATAGTATAATTTATTAATAATGTTTATTGAGTTTGGTCATTTAAAAACAGTTTTAATGCATTAAGCCACATTAAGCATTTTCCTTATGCGAGGAAAACACTTAATGCGTAATTAAACGCATTGCATTCATCTGCTTGTCTGTACATATATGCTTTATTAATAATGTGTTTATTGAGTGTGGTCTTTTAAAAACACTGTTTTAATGCATTAAGTCACGTTAAGCGTTTTAGAATGTCCCAGAGACCGGAGCCTGAGCTGATGCGTGTGTGTGGCCAATGCAGCCTAGAAAACACAGATCGTTCTCCGCAATCCTGACTGCTTTCATTAGAGAAGTACGCGCTGAAGTATTTGGCTGGACTCCGGCTGGCCCGCGGCGCAGCGGTCGCAGGCCAAACCTACCGATTACGAGCCCCAGTTTCTGTCCTGCACTGTTCAGGAGGAATACCCATAAAAACTCATTAGACGCAAACCAAGCGCTGCTGCTTCTTCGAGAGAGTGAAGTCATGATGTTTTATGAAGCCTTCTGGGAAGTTTTTCAGCGTGGCGATTTCTAGCCGGCGAGATTCGGGAGCATTTCTGTTGTTTTAATAAGCGCTGGAGTCATTCTTTCCACGCTACTCTACTCGTGGCTGGCGAGGAGAAATAATGCTAGACATGTCTGCAATGCTTGTAAAACGGTTTGAAGCTCACATGGGAAGTTTCCACTAGAATCACTACAAGCTATTGTGTTTTAATGCACTGGTCAGACTAGTGGAAAGAAGACATGCAAAATACATATCTTCAAGTCCTGCTTTCTCCACTTCAGCAGCTCCAACACACACCAAACTTTAGTTTTCTAAAATGTTATGGTGAAATATGCAAATGAGGCATCATCTAATTAAATATGTACTAATTTGCATACATTTCCAGAACATAAATCTGATAATTGTATAAAGCCAGGCTAATAATTCTTGTTTGATTTTCTTGAAATATTAGTTGAAGGTTTTCCAGAGGGGATTTTGGATTTCTCTTTTTATCACTCCATAAATCAGAAAATATCACATTTTCACCATGTTTTTAGGAATAAAATGTTAAAAATATATAATATAATATATACAGTGTGTGTGTGTGTGTGTGTGACCCTGGACCACAAAACCAGTCATAAGGGTCAATTAAGGGTCAAAACCTCATCTGAAAGATGAATAAATAGCTTTCCATTGATGTATGGTTTGTTAGGATCGGACAATATTTGGCAGAGATACAACTATTTGAAAATCTGGAATCTGAGGGTGCAAAAAAATCTAAATATTGAGAAAATCATCTTTAAAGTTGTCCAAATGAAGTTCTTAGCAATGCATATTACTAATCAAAAATTAAGTTTTGATATATTTACGGTAGGAAAGTTACAAAATATCTTCATGGAACATAATCTTTACTTAATATCCTAATGATTTTTGGCATAAAAGAGAAAAATGATAGTTTTGACACATACAATGTATTGTTGGCTATTGCTACAAATATACCCCAGCGACTTAACACTGCTTTTGTGCTGCAGGGTAACATATATAGAATATAGATAGGAATAAGTCTGTAAAGTTTGGTGTGTGCAAGAGCTGCTGAAGTGGAGAATAATAGATAAAGTGCAATGCAATAAACAATTAAATGTGTATTTTAGTTGTTTCCTTCAAGTCTTAAAGAAGACATTTAATGGAAACAAAATGCCACAAAACTGACCATTGCATGAAGAAGCGGAACTTCGTCCATCATCGCATCTGAAGTTTCTCTACCTGCGTCTGGAGGGGCGGGGCTACGCGCAGAGCTCCTGCAATGACGCGCGTTGACTCCGCCCCTCCGCAGCGCGAAACTTTCTTCAGTCCTCCTTCAGTCTTCCTTCAGTCACACTCACTCTCGCTGCAGCTGCAGACGATCAGCTCCGCGATGCTCGTGTTCATGTGGATTACAGGGCTGCTGTGGAGCGCCGCGGGCGCTGACGCGAGGAAACCCGGCGACGAGTTCTTCAGCGCGAGCGTTTACCGCGCGAGGTGCGCGTCGCGATGCCTCAGCCTGCACATCACGCGCATTTCTGCCGCTTTCAAACATTTCCAGGTATGTCAGAATATGCCATTATCCCAGACTAGCGCTTCATCAACATCAGCTTCAATGCAACATTCTAAAACTTTGACTTTGAATACAGAGTCTTGACATTTAGATCCATATGCTTTGTTATTAATAGGCTATTATTAGGATTATTGCTAGAATGGTCAACCGATAAGTGCTTTTGAATGACCGATATATGTAGCATGCACTCTTAAAAATAAAGGTTCCAAAAGGGGATTTCACAGTGATGCCATAGAAGAACCAGTTTTGGTTCCCCCAAGAACCTTTCAGTGAACAGTTCTTAAAATGATATTTTTTTCTTAGTGTTTAATAATCTAAAGAACCTTTTAAAGAACCTTTTGTGGAATGAAAAGGTTCCATGGATGGTAAAGGTTCTTTGTGGAACCATTGATGTTTATTTTTAAGAGTGTATGTTCAAATGGAATGTACAGAATTTATCAGATTAATCGCTAATTTTATATTATATGAACTATATGAGCCTATTGTTATTTTACACTATTTAAATTCATTTTAATATTTAAAAACTGTCAGTAGATTTTGAACCTGACACATTGATGATGATCATTACAGTGGCCTAGAAATATTACTAGTAAAACTATTTAATGACATAATTTTACATAATGTTTACTTAAATATTGAGTTCATTTTGGAACAGGCACATGGAATATCGGTTATTTAATCAGTTTTCGCTCTGTCAATAATGATTCATTATTGAGTCCATTTAATTATTATTATAGTTATTTAGGTTTCATGTTTAGAGCTTCATTAATGAATGATGTTTTTCGTGGTCATCCGGTTAGCTGCTGATACTCTGCTTTATTGATGAGGTGTTGAAATCAGTTCTCAGCTCAGAACTTCCATCTGTTCTGTTCTGGTTAATCTGGTTTAAAGAAGTGATTCATATTCGCATCAAACAGACTGCATACGCGATTGATGTGTAAAGTGACTCTGGGTTCTGGTTGTTTTAGTTCTTTACACCTAAAACAACATCTAGTGGTTATAATCAGAGGAGAAAGAGTTGATTACATCCCTTCAGTGTGAAACATTGATTGATCTTATATTTTCATGAAGAAAATGTAACATATTTAATACTTGTTATTTAATTTCCCTTCCAAAATCATATATATGTTTATATATATATATATATA